GCTTCCTCCTCCTGTTCCATGTAGCCAGACTTCCCAGGAGCTATGGAAGGACAGGGGCCAGGCAACTAGGTCTTGTTGGCCAAACTTAGAGTTAAGTTTAATGTACTATTACAGTTACTATTACTATTACTGTTACTCTTACTACTAATGCATTAGCTAAGGTCTCTGGGTATATATGTCTACTTTTTCTATTTAGTTTTTGATTTTGAAATTTTAACTTCTAGACCTTATCATAATGGTACATGCCTATAATCCCAGCACTTGGAGGTTGAAGCAGGAGGATTACAAGTTTGAGATCATCCTTGGCTCCTGATAGTGATAAGTTTTTCTTTCTTTCTTTCTTTCTTTCTTTCTTTCTTTCTTTCCAAAAGACCCATTTCCAAGCTCCAATATTCTTCCTTTTGCTTGTGGTTCTAGTCTATGGCTGAGGCTTCAATCTTCTTCTTCTTCTTCTTTTGGTATTTTTGAGACAGGGTCTCCCTGTAGCTCCAGCTGGCCTGGAACTTGCTAGCTAACCTTGAACTCACAGATCCACCTGCCTCTGCCTCTGAGTGCTGGGATTAAAGGCATGCACCACCATGCCCAGCCAAAAGTTTTTTTTTTTTTTCAATTTTTATACCCTAAATTTCTAATTGCATCTTTTAGTAAGTAACTCAAATCTTTCTGAAGCAAGCACAGTAAGTAAAGACCTTTTAATATTTTTAATTTATGAATTTATTTACAATTTGGTTTTTTTAGACAGGGTCTTTATAACCCAGATTGGCCTTGTACTCATGGCAATCCTCCTGCCTTGGCCTCCCAAGTGCTGGGATTATAGGAGTGTGCCATCCTACCTAGTTAATGTCCAGTTTTAAGAGGCAGAAGACCAATATGGAAATGCTTTGGAGACGTAAAGTACTATGCATATATGCACAGTGTGCCTACTATTATTAATTGTGTCGCCTAGGATAGGGCATTTGAATAGTGAAGGCTTTAGAAGATCTTTTAAAATGGGACAATAGGGGCTGAAGAGATGGCTCCGTGGTTAAGAGTACTGGCTGCTCTTGCATAGGACCCAGGTTTGGTTCCCAGCACCCATGAGATGGCTCACAGTCATCTGTAACTCCGGCTCTAGGCAATCTGACACCCTTTTCTGGCCTCAACAGGCACTGTATAACACAGGCGCACTTACATACATGTAGCAAAACACTCATACACATAAAATAAAAATAAAAAAATGGGACAATTACACCGTCTTCTCCAGTGTGAATAATACAGGTATACTGATCTATCTGTTTTCATAGACATCTATTTTCTAATGTTATTGAATTTGAGGAATCAATCACTAAAAGATATCAAGATATCTTTATTTTACAAAGAAAGTTGGAATTTTAACTTTCCTTTTCCTAAGGAAAGTTAAAGGTAATTCTGGGTAACTTGTTAAAATCATGCAGTTTTCAAAAGGAACATACCCAAATTTGAACAACTAATTTCTTTTATACGGTCCATCCTGCAGAACAAATGTATTCAAATGGCTGAGACAATGCTGTGTAGAAAGCCAAATTTTGCAGAAAGTATGATTTACAAAGCCAGAAGGCATAAGGTAAGGAAACGAGCCATTGTTACCTGGAAAACTGGAGGCCCACACCACATGGCTCTTAGGAAGGTGTTTCAGTGTTTAACAATGGTTAATGAAAAAGCTAGTCACAGAGTTTAGAAATCACAGATAAGACTGTGTACTAATGGTTTGTGTGCAAATCCCAAGCAATCTCCTGCAGACAGCTTTTACAGTAGACTCCACAGAGCAGGAGATTCAACAGTTATGAGGAGAAAAAGGCCATCTTTTTCACTGTACAGTTGAAAAGGGTGTTAAACCACATATTAAATCAATTTTTAAGCCACTGATCCATTTTCCTAGCCCCCCAAAGAGTGAGTTTATGGTATGTAGATTATGTTCCAATTTGCAAAAGGAGAAGGAAAAACTAGATCATCCCAGGTAACACAAATGTTATGGAGAGCTTGTGCTCTCACTCCTGGAGTCCCCGTCCTTACAGCCTGCCTGCTCCTCTCTCTTTGCTCACAAAGCATCTTGCATTTCTCAGGCACCCCCTGGGTTCTGGGCACAGGGAGTAAAGTGGACACCCCGAGTCACCCTCCCATCGATCCTTGACACTTTCCCTCTCTGCTTGCCCTTCCTCTCTCTTATGAGGAGTGAGATGTTTAGTCCATGGATTTTTGTGCATGTGTATGTGCATTTGTATGTGTGTGGGTGCATGTAGAGGGCAGAGGTTGATATTGGGTGTCTTTTACATTAGCTCTCCATTTTTATTTACTGAGGCAAGGTCTCTGCTGAACCTGGACCTTGGAACTCAAAGATTTGTTTAGTCTGGCTAGCCATCTTGCCCTGAGTAACTTGTCTTTGCTGCCTGACTGAGTGCTGAGTTATAGACTGGGATTACAGGTTTGGATTGCAGAGCTGGGATTATACCAGGCCCACTTGGCTTTTACATGGGTTCTGGTGATCTGAACTCTGGTCTTCATGCTTGCACAGCAAGTGCTTTATCCACTGAGCCATTCCCCCTGCCTTATTGAATGGAATCTCCATGTCCTAACAAACCCTCTGAGACAAAAGAAAGCAGAAGACACTGCGCGGGGGTGGGGAGGTGGGGAGGTGGCTGGGGGCACTTCCTGAATATGGTATTTTGTTGATTCTGATGACAATTAACAAAGTCTGCTTCACAATCCCATACAATAGATGGAAAGAGTAAGGCTCTGAGAGTTGCTTCTATTCAGACATCCTGTGGACATTCACTCAGAACATCTATTTTATTTTCAAGGAGCCTGAAATGACTTATGAAATGGGACAAGTGATATCCAGGGAGCACTTACTTAAAACAACATAAAGCTACTAAAAAACTAGCATTGTTGGCCAGGGCATTTAAACACAATCACACTTCCAGTAACCCCTGAAGAACAGTTTCCATTCTAGGAGGCAGGATGTTTATGGAGATGTGATCTCATAAAAACAGAAGAGAGGAAACATACTAAGATTATTTTTTGATATTTAAAATAACACACAGACCACTCACTGGGAAACTAGGCTTTCTGCCATTTTGGTGGCTTCTGAATTTGCCAGAGCAAATATTAACAGTCTTCTGCTTTAATTGGGTCTATCACAGAGACACATTTGCTATTCCTTCTCCAGATAATACAACCAACTGAAGTTAGTTTGGGCTGCATTTGACTAGGTGGGAAAGGAACAGGTGGAGGATACAGAGGTTCTGGAGCCATAGTTATCTTCTGGAGAGGAATTCTGATATTTAAAAGTTTTCAACAGAAGGCTGGAGAGATAGCTCAATCAGAAAGTGCTTGATGAGTAAGCGTGAGCACCTGAGTTTGAGCCTTAGCATCCACATAAAAAAGCCAGGCTCAGTAGCACTGTGCTGGGGCTATGGAAACAGGTAGCTGCCTGAAGCTCACTGGCCAACCAGTCTAGCCTACCTGACAAGCTCCAGGCCAGGGAGAGAGACTCTCTCTGAAAAACAAGGTGCATGGCACCTGAGGAACATTACCTGAGGCTGACCTCTGGCTTCTTCACATGTACATACACGCAGAGACACACACAGACACAGACACAGACATACAGACACAGACGCACAGACACAGACACACAGACACACGTTACAAAAGAATGGTACTTCAACTTTGGCTACGTTAACTGCTGCACAGCCAATGGTAGACCAGAGGAATTCAGATCCTGAGACCGCTCATGGTATTATCTCTTGAATCTCTTGCTGGACTTCCATGTCTAAAGCTCCATATCCATTTCTTTCTTGCTATATGACACTGGCGAGTTACACGATCTCCTTGTACCTATGTTATCTATAAAACAAGGCTGGGAATAGCTTGTAGGCCCTGAGCTATTGAGCGTGTTCCTGGATTTTATACACAGAAAGTATTAAATATATTGCCTGGCACATAGTCTAGATAAGCTCCTGTTTAATAAATAATTAAAAAATAAAAATTTATGTTGTTTTTCATTAAATGTCTTTAAGAAATGGTACTGTAGAGGCTGGAGAGATAGGCCAGCAGTTAAGAACATTGGCTGCTCTTGCAGAGGACCCGGGGCTTCTGGCCTCTGAGGGCATTGCATACATGGGTGCATTTATATACACTCAGGCAAAACACTCAGACACATAAAATAAAAAGAAAAATAAATAACAAAGAAACGGTGCCCTAAACTGGGCTTGGCAGCTCGCATCTGAAATCCCAGCACTTGGAAAGCTGTGGTTAGGAGGGTCATTGGAAGCTCAAGGCCTGCCTGGATCACAGAGCGTGGATTACTTAGAGTATAGGCTATAAACAAAACACCACACCCCTGTATTATCTGCTTACCTGGTTTGTATACACTTATTGGAATGAGAAACTGGTAAAAGCTCGTTTTTATGAGTGCTCTGCACTGGAGGGAAGTATCAATAGGGCTGTCCTTTGCAGGAAGGTGGGTTAAATATTGATGATGTTGCCTCACATGACAGCTGATGGTTCCATAGGGGTTTGCAGACACTGATACTAATACAAGGGCCTGCAGTCCCAGGCAGATAGGCAGAAAGAAGTAAGGGATGGCTTCAACTTCAGACCTCCAGGGAACAAAAGTTCAGGAGGAATCATGAGCTGCCCCTGTGCCCCTAAACTCCAAGTGAACAAAGGTTGGCTCACTTCTAGACTCTGTAAAGAGTCTTTCCGACCTCAGAATAGTCTATTACCCATTTCAAGGCCATATTTTTCTTGAGATGAGCAAAGGCTTGTTTAATTGTGTAGATATTAAACATTTAGTACTTAGAAGTATTTCCACCCCCCTCCATGTTTTGCAGGGCAGGTCAGAAAGACCTTGGGTAGCCCCCAGTGGCACTTTCTACATGTCCTAGGATCTCTGGTCACCACTGTTCATCTTATAATCCTGGAAGAAATTCATTAACTAGCAGTGATACTCTGTTTGTGTGTGTATCAGAGAGCAAACTTACCCAAATAGTTGTTGCTTTTGTGCATCTCGGTAATGTTGATTTTTGTGGCTCCTTGGGGAATCTCCACAACACGGTGGTAGCCCAGGCTGGTCAGGGCATGCTTAAATACTCCTGACACCACCTGGCAGCCCGTATTGTCACCTCCACATACCCCGCACTTGTCCACGACTTTGTCAGAACCTAGGAAGTCATCACAGCCAATGTTCTGCAAAAGAAGCAGAAAAGAAAGGCTCATGTAGCATGTATCAGGAGCATCCAGGGTGAAGAGCCGGGAAGGGATAGCAGATTTGTTGGTGGGACTCAAATTGACCTTCCTTCTGCCCTTGCTCCCAACAGCGCAAAGGCTGGAGCTGAGGACATGGCTTAAGGGGTAAAGTGCCTGTTGCATGACTATGAGGATCTGAGTTCAGATCCCAGCACCCATGTAAAAAGCCAGGTGTGGTGGAGCATGACTATAATTTCAGTGCTGGGAGAGAGAGAGACAGGGGATCCTGGGGGCTCACCGGCTAGTCAGTCTAGCCAATTACTGAGCTACAGTTTCAGTAAGAGATATCGTCTCAAAAAATAAGGTGGAGAACAACAGAGAAAGACAGCCAGTATCAACCTCTGGCTCCACACATGCACACATAGGTGTGTGTACACATATGAATGCATACACATACCCCTCCCATACACATATTTTTTTTTAAAGTTCACATTTGTCTTTATTCAACAGATATATACACAGCACCTACCTACTCTGGGCAAGAACATTTTTTTTTTTAAAGCTATTCATGAAATGTCCACTCCAGGGGCAGGATGGGAGCCATACACAGTAAACAAGACAGATCAATTCAACAGTACATTTGGTTGTGGTCAATGTTCAGGAGAACAAACACTCAGGAAAACGAGGAGGAGGTAGGGGTTTGATATTTACACAAATTGGACAGCGAAGTTGTTTTGCAAATTCTCCCCTAGAATTGTGGGAGGTCATGGGCGTGCCATACCGGGAATTTCTTAAATCTCTTTGGAACCATGGTAAATACCATACTTAAAATTGAGGTTTACTGCCAAGTCAGCTCTATATTGCAGATACCACTACATAACAAAGTAACCCCCCAGAGTGGTACTCCTTGGCTCAGTTTCTTGGGAAATAAGAGAGTTTGAGATCTTAATCTCTACTGGTAACTGTGGTTCCAGAGATCTGAGCAACATGTTTGCTTGGTTTCCCCAAGGCACTTTCCTGAAACAAAATGCCTGAAACATCATCAGACTGGACGGGAAGCTTCTGTAAAGTCAATGCATTATAAGGAATTCTTACCTAACCTAAACACCCCCAATCTTCTTCTTATTTAGTTTTTTTTTTTTCGGCTTTATTTCTATTTCTTACTGCTCGTTCATGTCCCTATTGGACAAATTTATTTTCATTATAAAATGAAACTTTGGAACGGGACAGAACAATTTTGATTGAAATCTTTTTCCATTGCTGGGGCTGATTCCGTAAGGCTTGTGATTCTGTTTCCTGAATTCAAAATTGGGATGCATGGTCTGAGCAAAGAATTCTGTCACATTTTCATGGGCAGATGGAAGTCAGCAAAATGTAGCTTGGATGATGAAATATTGGGATTACAGGATTATTCATTGGGTTTTGGGGATATAGGAAGATGAAATCAGAATGGTATTTGAAAACTTGAGACATATGTTCATTGGCTCCCAGGCTTGTTTTGCTTCTTGAATTCTAACAGCAAACATCAGACCACATCTCAGGGGCAAGTGGTCAACAGACCATTCAAAGTTCACTTTTGATCCTGTTAAATAACCCTGGGCCTGTCTACATGGGTCCTACAGGTCAGAATCTGTAGGCAGGGTCAAATCAGAAGGTGTTTACTCTTGGCCCTCTGACTGTGATTGGCATCTTTCTACAGGCACTGTACTTCTGCCTTTATTAATTCCACATTCCCAAGTGCATGTTAGTTCATCAGTAATAACTGGTCTTTCTCTACAAATAGCTTCTCTGTAAAACATTATTTCTAACAATAACAGAACATCATCTCAATATGTTCATTCACATCCAATTAGCCTTTCAAAATGCCATGTTTGCTATGTGTCTCCCCTCCTTCAAAAATTTCTTGCCTCCACCTTCTGCACATTTTAGCAGGAAGACAAGGAGAATGATTACAACAACCTCAGTGCCTTGCATTCGCCCTTGCCTCGAAACAAGGAAACACCACCACCATCTGGGGTTCTAGAAAATAGACCCCAAAGCCAGGGTCTGATTACATTGACAGTTGTGGATGGGGAAGATGGACAGAAAAGCTGATCAGGACTCATTCTCTGCCTTGTCTAGGGATAGTTTGCACTATTCTCCTTTTACAACCTCTAGTCCATTCTGCCTAACTCTGGATTCAACTTGTCCCAATGAGCATTCTCACGGGGCTCTCTAGGTGAAGGGAATGTAGGTACAAAGGCTTTGAATTGGGAAAAGGTAAAGCATGCTCACAGGATGACAAGGTGGACCAGTTACTTTTCTCGTCACTATGACATTTCTGACAGCGGGAGCCTCAGAGAGGATTTACTTTGGCTCAGGGTTTGAGAGGGTACAGCCCATGATGGAGGAGAAGGCATGCTGGAGTTTATGGTATTGGGAGTGTGTGACTGCTGCTTGGTACACGGTGCTAAGTGGGAAGTAGGCAGCATGGGCTAGAAGTGGTACCTTCAAAGCCCACTCTCCAGTGACCCACTCTCTCCATTGAGGCCCCACCTGCCAAAGATTCCACAGCCTCCCAAAATAACACCACCAGCTGGTGATCTAATGTTTGAATACATGAGCCTATGGGAGACATTTGACATTCAACTTATAACATAAGACTGAAGGGTAGGGTTGCTGTAAGGGATGAAATGAGGCCAGAGAATTCAGAGAATTAGTTAAGTTTTTGGTCAGAGTGAAGGAAACAGCAGTTCCCAGATGTATAAAGATGTGGAGTGGGTTCTACCTAGAGAGGGAAGACAAGCAGTCTAGAGAATCTCTCTCTTATATAGAAAATATTTAAAGAATGAACAAGAGCCAACAAAGATGGGATTCATATAACATCAGTCCTTTGCCCCATCTCAGTTAGAATGGGGTTATCACAAGGTATCATGGGTACATGAACATCTACCACTTTAGACAATCACAGACACTGATGAAATGTTATTTGATCTTCTCAATAAGACACTGTATTAAAATAGTCGGCATTGTTAGATGGATTCCCACCAGATTTCCTGTAGAGTGCAGTCACCCTGGATGAATCTGGAAGAGGGAAAGCAGCTGCAGCTTTCCCTGGTTGCTATCTATGTAGCCTGGAAGTCAGCTTCAGTGATGGGTGCAGCTATGCAAGTAATGCCAAGAGCTAAGAGTGACATCCTGCTTGTCAGAGCCCATCCTGGACTCTCAGTGCCCACAGCATATTCCCCAAGAGAGAAGTCAAAACAAGGGGTATGTGATCCTTCCCTGAGGCACGAAAAGGAACTCCTGGAACATCCTTCTGATGTTCTTGTGGCTTCCCAGCCCTTTGAGAGATTGATTTGCTATGGAGTTGCACAAAACACCATCCACTTTACAGAGCAGGAAGGACAATTCTTTCCCAGCTCTGAGGCCACAGGAAAATTACATCAGTGACAACTGTCCCGCCTCTTGAATAGGGTTATGTTGAAGAAAAGATGACACAATGAGGGGCAATTTGATTGGCTGAGGAAGTGACCTTTGGACTAGTACTCAAGGGACAAGAAATATTGGTCATGACAAGATTTAACCACATAAATGTGTATTTTATTACTGATGCTGTCTGACTACACCATCTGGGAAGCCCTGAGCTGAATAGGCATAGCCTGGAGGATTTGAATCTTCCAGGGCTGATGACATCCATGTAGATTATCAGAAAGCTATGAGGCAGCAAGGAATTCCTGTATTCTCCATATCTTCCTGGGACAGGATCAAACCTCTTTTAGAAAGTGATAAGCGAAAATTAAGTACATAAAGTCTGTAGGATGCCACAATATCCTGGCCTGAAGCAGGATGTGAGGACTGAATAAAGCTCTGATGTAAAATGAATGGGATTTTGTGACTGGCCAACTAATAGAGGGGAGCATGAATCTTCTTTCTTCTTCCCTCCCGTTTGTCTTCAACTTCATGATGTCTAATATTCATGAGCCCTTACTATGTAATAAGTCCTTTGGACACCAAGTCTTCTTATTAATATTATGAGTATCTAGGAAATTGCTGAAAACTATAGGGAACTAAGACTCAAGAGAGAGGTCAACTGTCCATGCAAGGCTGCGCTGCTAGTCTTAAGGCCTCAAACCAAAGTTCACGATTTAAAAACCTTTATGGAAAGACTAGAGGCCAAAGGACATCTATCAGTGGTCATGCCGAGGACTCTAGCTTTGCTGAAGGAATGGATGGTGACAGTGACCTAGGTGCAGGGAACAAGATCAAGGCAGTGTCACCTTGGAATGCCATTCAGAGCTCAGCCCAGAGGAAATTCCAATGCTCCTTTCTCCTAGTCTTCTGAGGGACCAACCATGTGCTGTATCTCCCTGACACTGGGTGTTTGAACATTATACTCTACATGTAGCAAATGAATAAATATTTTAGTTTGTCTTCCTATTACATTAATTTCTTATTGTAAGAGCTTCATATTTATTTTGAAATAGACTCACAAGAGGTTGTGAAAACAGTACAGAGAGTTTCAGTGACCTTCTACCCAGATCTAATGATCATATCTCACTAGGCATTGTCAAAGCCATGCAGACTGTCATTATCAGCATTATACCATTAACTCAAGAGCAGACTATATTTGGACTTTACTAGCATTGATATGTACTTCTTGGGGTATATGGTTCAGTGAAATATATCAAATATGTCATGCTAAAACAGCTGATCTTCCCTGTTCAGGTTAACCTTAATTGTCAACTTGATACAGTCTAGAGTCATCTAAAAGGAAAAGCCTCAACTGTGGCATTGCCTCCATCAGGGGCAATGAGGGGTTGTCTAGATTATCAATTAAATAGGAGGGCCCAGTCCACTATTGACAACACCAATCCTTGGGCAGGTGATCCTGGGTTGTATGAGTTGCTAGCTAAGCATGAGCCAGTAAGTAGGCCAGTAAGTGAGGTAGCAAGCAGCTATCTTCCGTGGTTTCTGCTTCCTGCTCTTGCCTTAAGTTCTTGTCCTAACTTTCCTCAAAC